TCTGGCAGCAGAGAGACAAGTGGATCGAACAGTAAAGAATGAAAACAGGATGTAATTTGTATTAAAATACAAGAACAATGAAGTCTGAGTCATTTCGAGACAATTGGTGGACATTTTGCAAATTGAGTATTTACTTTATGATTGTTAGATTTTATTAACAAGTCCTGTAATTTTGTGTTAAATATATTCGATTGTCTCCACCCGTGTTCTGCTGACTACACTACAGTCATAAATCCAAATTAATATACAAAGGTATTATACACGATCCTAAAAGAAAATGGATATTCTGAGAAATTTATAAATAAAAACATAGCCAATAAAAGAAACCATAGAGAATGTCTAACAGTGAATAAAAAGCCTCTGTATATACGCTAACAACTCAGAAGCAATGCACCTAGTGACATGCTAAATCTAAAGTTACGCAGATCAATCCAATGAACTTTCAATACAGGTAAACTCTAATTAATGTTTTCCACATGCCCAATGAACACTCTGAGGTTGAAAGATAAATTGCACGTCTAGACGATAATATTTAGGAAAGTGAAGCGCGTAAAATGCTCCAATCTAACGATGATTACGTTAGATTTAGTTAAGCACATAAACTAAGCGTTCATTGAATGTGTTTGATTCACTTGCTTGGTTTCATATTATCTTGTGACAGTGAATGTTACGTTAATGTCTAACTGATATTTTCATACAAGAAATTTCTATTCAAGGTTGTTTTAAAGCCTGAATATTATTGATCATACACAGCGAGCGCCAAATAAATCACACTTTATGAATAAGTTCTGGAAGACGTGAGGACATTTAAGTACCTGGGAAGCAACATTGGTAAAGAAGGAGGAACTGGTGCAATTGTGAATGCATGGATAGACGAAGTATAGACAGCTTTCCTACAACTGAAGAACGTCTGAAACTCAGAAAAAAACTGTCAGCAAACATCAAATTCTGAATCTTCAATACAAACATCGAGACAGTTCTGCTAAAACATGGAGATCTATTACAACCATCATCCGAAACGAACAGATATTTATAAATAGTTGTCTACTCTAGATACTATAGATCCTTTTGCCGGACACCATCAACAAAACACCCACTGTGGGAGAAACAAACTAACTTACAGCTGATGAGGAAATCAGTAAAAGACGCTGGAGATAGGTAGGATATATGTTTCGGAAATCATCAAACGGCATCATGTAGCAAGCCTTAACTTGAAATCCCGAAAGAAAAAGATTCAGAGCAAAGAAAACATTAGGTCGAGAATTAGACGTAAATAGCATAGTGAATAGTACTTTGCTCCACGAGGAGCAACAGGCTTAAGTAATTATTGATCCTTTGTTTTTCATTTACTTAAATATCTAACTATTTGAAGAAATAGTACGGAGCATTAATGCAAGATTGAAATATAGAAGGGTTAAAGTAAATTTGTGGTAAATTTACTCTGTTATCCAGATTAGACCATTAGTTGTTATTATTTTAGAACAATTCCAAAATCACATAGCCCTTCTAGAGTTATTGCCGGCCCCAAACGCACACAGAGGAGGAGGGTCAGGTATGGGATCGGCAACCTCATCCCGTACAAAAACGTGCTAAGAAACGCTAACCAGATTAAACAAATTATACTACTCAAACTCTGTCCTTCAAGTTGAGGGAAGAATTATGACGTCTCATTATGAAAGCCCAGATTCTTCAAAACTCACAAGGCCAATGCCCCTTCTAACAACCAGAGCAACAATTTTTATAGGCACACGGAACGTCCAGACAATGTGGGAGACCGGGCGGTCTGTTTGAAAAGCAACAGAAATGAGAAGGTATAACATGGCGGTTTTCGGAATCAACAAAACTCATTGGATCCTAGCTGGACAGAAAAGGCTAGGAACGGGAGAGATGGTCAGTACTCCGTTCACGCAGAAGAAAATGCTCCGCACACACAGGGAGCTACTCTGATTCTGTCCAAAGAAGCACGTAACACACTTATAGGATGGGAATATTATGGATCCAGGATCACCAAGTCAACATTCAAAACAAAGTTAGAGGGAGTTACAATGAATTGTATCCAATGTTATGCACCAATCAATGATAGCAATGACAACAATAAAGATCAGTTCAATGAGAGGTTGCAATCGATCATTGCGAAGTGTCCAGATAAGGACCTGACTATCATGTAGATCTAAATGCCAAATTCGAAATGGACAACACTAGATATGAGGATAACATAGGACGACATGAACTGACTGGGAGAAAGGAGCGAGAATGGCGAGAAATTTGCGAATCTATGTGCATTCAATAAATTAGATAGAAATTGAACGATATTCCCACGCAAACGCTTACACAAAGCTACATGGATCTCACTGGATTAGGCTACACAGAGCCAGATATATCATATTTACATCATTAAAAAATCCACAACGTCAACAAAAGACGTGAGAACCAAGAGAGCAGCTGATATAGCTTCAGATCACCACCTGGTCATGGCCGAGATGAAACGGAAGCTAAAGAACTGAACAACTGGACAAACAGAACTACAAAGGTTCAATACAGCCTTCCTTCGAGATACTAACAAATTCAACGGGTCCAAGATGGCTCTGAACGGCAGGATCTACGGAAAGAAGAAGAAACTACTATGGAGGACGGCTGGAAAGAGATCAAAGAAGCACTAACTTCAATGTATCAGAAGGTTCTGGACCGCAAGCAGCATCATCCCAAGGAATGGATCTCTATAGAAACACTGGACAGTGTCAAAGAAAAGAAGAACAAGAAGTCGGTAATTAACAACAGCTGAACTGGAGCTGGTAAAGTCAAGGTGCAGGCCGAACACACAGTAGCAAAAAAGCAAGTAAAGAGTAGTATTAGAGCTGACAAGCAGAGACTTTAGACTGCTCGTACAGGTTTTATGCTCTGATCGATAAATCACTGTTCTCTAATCGGCGGTGTCATTATGGTATGTATTAATAGGACACAACAACACAAGATATAACAATAAACGCCCAATTCCAAAATCCGGATTCCGTAAGGGTCGGCCGTGCACAGTCCAAATCGCCACACTACGAATCATCGTTAAACATTCAATTGAATGGAAATCGTCACTATACATCAACCTCCTTCACTAATGAGAAGGCATTTGACGGTGTGGATTGTAAAACCAGAAGGAAAATTCTTTGACACTATGGCGTACCTAAAACCATCATCAACATCATCAGGAATTAGTACGACGGACTACAATGCAAAGTCGTGCATGGACGACAGCTGACAGATCCATTCCAAGTAAAAAACAGGACCAGACAAAGCAATCCACTTTTCACTTTCCGGTTTTTTCTGGTTGTTGACTGAAATATGGAGACCTCCACATCTGACGGGAAGCACGGTATATAATGAACGACTTCGATGCAACTAGACGTTTGGGACATCGCTGATGACCTATCTCTTATATCCCATATAGACGAACAAATGCAGATGAAGATGACTAGTGTTGCAGCAGCCTCTGCAGAAGTAGGCCTGAACATATACAAGAATAAAGCCGGATCCTCAAATAGACCACAGCGATAACCAGCCTAATCACACTTGATGGAGAAGCTCTGGAAGATGTGGAGCCTTCCACGTACCTGGTCAGCATAATTGATAAACAGGGGGGTTCAGATGCAGACGTAAAGGCGAGCACTGGCAAAGCAAGGACAGCATTTCTTCAATTGAAAAATATATGGAACTCAAAACAACTGTCAACAAATATCAAAGTCAGAATCTTCAATACGAACGTCAAGACAGTTCTACTATACGGAGCTGAAACTTAGGGAACTGCCACAACCATCATCACGAAGGTACAAGTATTTACAAACAGTTGTTTACACAAGATACCGAATGTCCGTTGACCGGATACCATCAGCAACAACCTACTGTGGGTGAGAACAAACTAGCATAGAGCTGAAGAGGAAATCAGGAAAAGACGTTGGAAGTGGATAGGACATACATTACGCAAATCACCAAACTGCATCACGAGGCAAGCGCTGACGTGGAATTCTGAAGGGAAGCGGGAAATGGGGAGGCCAAACAACACATTACGTCAGGAATTGGAAGCAGATATGAAAAGGATGAATAGCAACTGGAAATGATTATCCAGGACAGAGTTGGATGGAGAATAGTGGTGTGTGGCCTATGCTCCTTCACGAATGGTAACAGGCATAGGTAAGTAATGAACTACATATTTTATACCCACTAGTGATTGCAACATCTTTTCAAGAGTTAGGTTCTAAATTTCTCTGAATTTATGCAATTTCTATTCTGTAGTCTATTATTTACTAAAATAATCTAAACGTTAGTTTACTCATGATGAAAAATTGAGAATTGTTGTCGTGTTTGCTAGGTTTTGTTTAGTCTATACATCAAACACTACAACCTAAAGTTCTGAATACATTTTGAATAGTGACCAGTATTAAGTTCTGAGAGTCATGAACTGAACACACTTGCATCACAACAACAAAGTGTAAACCATTTTATATAAATCAACGATAATATCCCGTCAGCAGAACAAGGCTTTCTCCGTTATAACTCAATAAAGTAGTGAATAATACTTTGCCATTAAAAAACAAAGTTTTGTGTTTAGGTCTCGGTTTGAGCATTAATAGTATTAAAACGCAAGTATATTATCTCATGCGTCTTTGGTAAAACGAAAATCACGTACTAGATCCCATTGCCCATCGATTTCCAGAAAATAATCAAATTGTAACCACCAGAAATAACTCCACCTCTAGCTTTCTTAAGGTCACTACCAGTCCAAGCCTGGATAAAGGAGGACAGCTGAGTACGGGTTTAGCAACCATATTTCGTATAAAAGAACCTTACTAAAAAAATGCTAATCAGTAGTTATCTACTTAAAATCTAGATACATCTACTCCAAGATTCCAAAATGAAACTGAACAATTCACCCTTGAATATCAACAACGGTTAACTACGAAATTTGTGATTCGTACCATTTTAGGAATGATTTGAGAAAGATTATTTAACATTAGAATTATTGTATTTTATATTATTTCCCATTGTAATATTCAAGTTGTCAAGTAAGATATTGTAGTAAATTTTACGCTACCTAATGTATTGTTAATCAGTTACAGACATATCACCCAGTTCCTTACACTTATGGAATAGTCATGTAATTGTCATTTCAAAATTTCTGTTTCTATGTTGTCAAACATTTGAGATATATTATTGTATGAGATTTCTAGTCAGAAATTTATAGAGTACAAAAGAGAACTAGTCTGTTCTATATTTTCGCCTACTAATTGAAAACAGCTTTCGACCCAAAAAGATCTTGCTATTATACAGTTATTATTTACTATCACTAAGTCATTTGATAAAGACGTCACTGATTTTCAAAACAATAAGCGAACTCAACAATCCAACTGATCCTATAAAAAACAGTCGATCATTCAAGTACATATCCAATAAAGGACATTGTTATTGATAAATACATAACCATATAGAGTTTTATAAGCAGTAGTTAATACATGGGGTATTGTAGTTCATTCACTAGGAAATTCCGTCTAATTAATTCGTGATAAAAAATAATAATCTAGAATAAAAATCAGTCTATGAATAATTGTTCATTTCTACTTATCATTTATTCGAATAGGACTTTTCCTTGAGAAGTAAAGATAATCAGTGTACATATATATATATATATGTTAGAACATTTGGGTTGAGTATCAAAATACCAAAGAAACCAAACAAATGACAATGCCCCCTCCCCACCACAGATTCTCTAAATGTAATAAAAATTTGGGGGGGGGATGTTGGGGGAAAAACAGAAAAATCTTTACCAAAATGATCAATATACATAAATTGTTACTGAATTTTTTGTTTGTTTTCATATGGATCATTGTCCATTGGTGTATCTGCTCACAGAATATTCATAAATTAATTAAATAATCGAAGAAGAGGATGAAAAGTAAATGTTTATTTGCTTCATTACCTTGATTCGTTCAACATACATATTATAGTCTTCATATAAGGAAATATCAAAAAGAAAAGTACAGTTAAAAATAATGAAATCTAAAAGCTTTCAATATTTTAAATACGAGGTATTCGTGCAATAGTTGTTTTATCTAATGTCCAATCATTGTATTGTGAATCATACATACCTAATTGTTCCATTTGTTGTTGACCTTCACAATCGATAAATGCATTAAAAGATTGATTAGGAGATAAATTTGAAATTGGTTGTTGTACAATAGTTGGTTGCATTGTAATTGATGAGATTTGATCAAATGTATCCTCATTAGTGAATTCATTATCATCATCACCACAGTTGATTAATGCTTCTGTTTGATAAATTTGATTATCATTATCAGATAATTTTGGTCTATGTAAATGATTAACATGACGATTGAAAGTCGTTGTAGTTCGACCATCTTGAATATAATAATCAGGTGTTAATGTATCTTGTACATTTGATTTTTGAGGATTTAACATATTACATTGACTAATTGATCTCATTTCTTCTGGGTATCTTATACTAATAGTTGGAGTTCCTGAGAAAATTTGTGATGTAGATTTATTTAAATTGTATGAAATTTGTGAATAGTTTCTTTCTTTTTTTGGAGAATAACTCGGTGGTGTTTTATTAATATTCATTGAAGAAGCAGATTTCGGACTTGGTGGAATAGCATATTCATATGTACCTGATTCTTGCCAATTTATAAGTTTTCTATTCGGACATGGTGATATTGTTTTTCTGTTAATGAATTTCAACTTATTATACTTAGGTGATGATAGTTTTTGTAAATTAGTAAGAATTCTATCTGTTTTGTTTGGTGAATCATATGCTTCATAAATAGTGTTTCTATTTTGACGATAATACCCATTTTGTCCAATTGGAGTTCCTGATTTGTATGGATAGGAATAATGTCCCCAAGAAGATGTAGAAGGGTCAATCATATCAAAAATATGTTTTTCAGACAGTGGGAATTCTACTCGATGTTTACGCTTTTGAAAACGATTTAAAACCAAACATAAGAGTAACAATAAAAAAATCATGATAATAAGTATCAATGGAATAAGCCAGAATAATGTCCATCCTTTTGAATAGTTTATATCTTCAGTAATATTATTTGGTGATTCTGTGCTCACATAATGACAATCCGTTTGATTTATTTCAAATATGGTTGTATTTAAGACACCTAGATCAGTAGTAGTGTTAATTTGTGGTGTGTCAGTGTGAAACGGAAAGACAGTCGTTGTTGTCAGTGAAATATTTGGTTCTGAAGTTGTTGTACTAATTTCAGGTAAACATGGATCTTCTGGTAGCCAAGTAAATGCACCATTATTATCTTTTTGACAGGATATGTTTCCAAAAGGGCAAGCTAGTTCACATCCAATTACATATTCTGGGATAAATGTTCCATTTATTAATACATTATTGCATACTATCTGTTCACATTGTTGTAGGATATCACAGGAAAGACATACTATAAAGTAAAAGCAATGAGTTAAAGCATCATGATAAGTAATCTAATGGTATTGTAAGTCGTGGTTAGAATACTTTTTTTCTATAATAAATAATTACACTTACCTTCATAAATTTAATAATCAAAAGACATGTTAATTATCATTGTAGAGGTATTCAGATTCATGGAAAAACAAAGGTAAAATGTTCCAAAACAAATGAACTATTAACACAACAGAAACTCGTTATCACAAAACCATTTTCTTTAAAAAAAATTCAATGAATGTTTACGGAACAGTATTGCTTAATGAAACTGACTTCAGTGTCTCTGTTAAATATGGTTCCCCTTGTCATAAAGAAAACAGTTCAGAACAGATAAATTCTATGTTTAATAATGTGGGTTTATGCATGCAAACTAGAGTTTGTATAGCGAATAAAAATTCTGATGTCTAAATATGCATCACAAGAGGTTTTGTGAAGATTTTAGTGATTTCAATAGTTGAGATCATCAGTCAATTGAAGCTAGACCACCATGGAAAACCTGGAAGCATTGGACGGATGTTTCGTTTTATTGTGGGGCTCCTCAGCAGTGCGCTTTCATTGAAATAACATTTTCTCATTTATAAATTACTATACTCAATAATTCGAAAAATGATACCATCGAAAAAGAATTTTTCTTCTGAAATCTTTCCATGAAAAATGTCAATTTTTATGTAGATGAATACTAAATATGCCAAAATTGAATTATCAATGACATGAGTTACATAAAATAGGTTACGTTTATTGAATAGTTATTTCTTGAACATTCTTTTCCGTTTAAGTTTCAACCAATACTAATGATGTTATATTAATATAAAGAAAGTAAAAGGAATTATTCAAGTACTGTCAAACTAATCTTGATTACTGTTAATCATTTCATAATGATGTTCGATTTCGAATTGATGGTTATTAAACTACACAGTTATATTAGATTGTATTTTAATACATGATGTAAATTGATATGAATAAACTTATTTATTACATTTACATAATTTCCTTTATCATTTTGAAAAGAGCAAGAACAAACATTCTAGCAGAATAGCATGAATTCATTTTTATTTCGTAGGTTCTCGTCAACTGCTTACAACCTGAGATATGTAAGATCATAATTACATAATGGGTTTAAATTACTTACATGAGAGGTTTGGTTGGAAGTTATATTGAAGACATATTCATATAGTATAGCAAGGGTGTAAATAGAGTTAATAGACTGAATATTGTAAATATATACCTTGTATGAAGGAACATTCTACAACATTGATTGTGATAACAGTTCAAACGGCTAGAAATAATTGATTATATAATGAATAAATATTGATAGGAATATAGTGAGTAGAGCTCATTTGATAAAATACGATTATTTATTTGGAAGATAGTTGGAATAAAACTCAATGATGTAATAAATGCAAGGAAGAGTTTAGAGAAAAAGGAAAAAATTACAATACAGCGAAAGAGTATTTGTCACCAAGGCAAGGAAAGATTAATGACCATCTTCTTTTGAACACATAAGTCAGGTTTTTGATACCTGATGACAACGGCTTCAGCAAACTCCAGAAAACAGGCGTTTGGCTGCTTACTAATCACCTTTAAGGATAGCAAGTTATCTACTTGATGTCCTGTATCAAAGAGATGTTTAGTGATTGCACTGTTTAGTCTTACTTTCCCTCGTTCTGAGACTTTTTGAAACATGTTCGAAAAATCTAAGATATACCCTCCTTTCAGTTCGGCCAATGTAGTTGCTTTGGCAGGTACACGTAAATTTATAAATACAGTTGGCGGTAATATGAAAGGGGTGCTTGTCGATTTTTGATTGAGTTATTGAACATGTTGTTTTATAGCGAATAAAAAGTTTAGCCGCCGAATAAGTTCTGTATTCAGTCACCTGTTGATTATGTATGCGACCTATTTAGTCGATCGACTTCATCATCTCAATGTGTATTTATCCACAAAGCGATCATGCTTACATATATATATATATATATATATATATATATATATATATATATATATATATTAAAAAAGTCTATATACAAAATGAATTATGTTGCAAAGTAATAACAGAAATTAACTACAAAATCACTGAATCAAGAAATATATTAGCTTTAAATGACTTTTATCAGAGATTGATGACAGTTTAGGTACTATTATGAGGCTCGATATTACTGGTCACACATGACCAAACCAGGGATCGAAATCAAAAATTTTCAGTCTGATATGAAAAGTGTAATTAGTATATCACTTAGTTGAAATTCAATATTTCCTATTTCATTGAGTTCAAAACGAAGTACACTATTAACAAGTCTCATAATGAATAAAGCAGGTGTTGAACACTGGCTATTATTGATGTTAACTAATGTTAATCAGTGAAAATGGTAGTCAGCCAAACAATTTACCCTCTCAACAATCTTAGTTTATTGCAAGCTTAAATAGAATAATCCTTTAGTAATTTAACGCTTTTTAAATTATGAATAAATCTATATGTCTGGAAGAATCTTGGTTCAAAGATACATTTTCATAGAATAGTAGAGTAATGAACGCATATTTTTATCACATTAGAGTTGAAAAAAACAATCATAAATCCATAATAAACTTTTTAGGAATGAACCAGACTTTAAGTAAATTTTATCATTCAATTGAACTAGTTAGTCAAATAAAGGTTTATGCATTGTGAGTTACCCACGCTTTTCTATGACATTCAAAATGTAATTCTATGTGTATTTACTTATTTAAATAAATTGAGAATAAAGTCAGTGTTTCAATGAGTAAAGCTTGAGTGTTTAAACCATTAATATACCTCTCTTGAACTCTGTAAATAATAATGTGAATGGATTTTCTATAATTGACAAAATATCTCACTGGTTGACTTCATTCGTTCAGTACAATTACTAGTGAAAAATACAAAAAAAATTATTCGTTTTATCCATATAATTTTGTTAAAAGTTCAATGATTCTAATGACAGCCGTCAAATTTGCTAGATAGGCTATTATCAGAAGGGATTTCTGGAGATTTTAAAAATTTCACAGATTAAAATCATGAGTCAATTGAAGCTAGACCACCATGGAAAATCTGGAAGCACTGGACGACCGTTTCGTCCTAGTATGGGACTCCTCAGCAGTGCGCATCCATGATCCCGCCTCACGGGATTCGAACCCAGGCTTTTAATCAAAATTTTTTATATTTAATGGTCTGAGAGTAAGCTTATAAGCATACATAAATCATTCATGAAGGCTCAGCAAAGAGGCGTTTATACTGAAAAAAATAAGAGGATAGAAATTTAAAATTAACTCATAGTGTGAAACCATATAATTTAGCGATAAATAGTTTCAATTTTTTAACCATTGTTTTGAGGGATATAAGAACCTTTGTCCTTTATTGTAAAACAAACAGAAAATAAATATCTATCACATGAAAGATTAGCAATATAGTTTTACGTCATTGAAAGAACTCAAGTTTCTTCACTGTCACAGGTATAATCTATAAATGAATTCTAACAAGTTTCAGGAGAAATTCCAAAGCACATCAACCTCACTCAATCGTTTAACACTAATTATAACACAGCACATTATTTATTCAATTAGTTTAACAAGAGCCATTGAATGTAGTGGATAGAACTAGGTAAATACAAATGACTAAATCGTGACAGAAATCGCCTTTCAAGAGCCTCTTAGTCTATAACTTCAACTTTCAAACCACCTTACAGATATCTAAGACAGTAACAATAAATGTTAGTCAGAAAAAAATTTGTATGATAATACTACATCAATGCTGTCAGAAGTAAGAATTCAATTATACATCTAATTAATTGTAAGTTCAATCTTTCGCAAGACTATAACTTACGGACGAACCACTCAGATATAGGATAACAGGTCTTGGATTTTGGCACAAAATTTATTCACTTATTTGTTTAAATAGCGTTTTGGCATTTTATCTGATGTCAATTCATGATGAAAACCCTAAATCCAATTCCTTACCCTAACCATCATCTATAAATTATAATCATTATTCTTCACACTATTTTATAACCCTCATTTCGCCCTAGTAAGTAGGTGGATATTCTCAAGGTCACTTCAACATCGCTCAAACATTTTACGTAAATTATAGTCCCATCGAATCATTACCTTTTTTTCCAAACTATTAAAATATATAGGTATTTTAAATTTTAAATTGTTGAGATCATGAGTCAGTTGAAGCTAGACCACCATGGAAAACCTGGAAGCACTGGAAAAACGTTTCGTCCTATTGTGGGGATTCTCAGCTGTGTGCATTCACGACCCCACCCCGCGGGATTCGAACCCAGGGCGTATCAGTCTCGTGCGCGACCTCTCAACCACTAGACCAGTGAGTCGGCCGGCATCAAACGGTGTTAATGTTTAACTTCAACTAATCTACAAAATTGAGCGACACATCCACCATTGTCATTAGTGAGTTACTACCTCACAACTGACCCGGTTGAACTCCACTGGTCATTGCTTCTCACTAGAACTCCAGGATATACCTCGTGAAGCCAGTCACTAATGAGCATATGTTGATTAGTATCAGAAGGGGTTTTGTGAAGATTGTAGCAATCGACTCATGATCTCAACAGTTGAAATTACTACAATCTCCACAAAACCCCTTCTAGTATTTGAAATTAGTAATGTAAGTACAAAAACATTTCCTGTGCTAAAAATCTTGTTGTAAATTTGATGTTTTAAAGATAGACATAGAAATATATTCATTATTTTGTTAAGGCATTCATTGAAAATCCACGAATTGATATAAATGTTAGGCAATCATTTTAGCATATAAACTCCCTGGTTATGAAAGCATACACATATATACATTAGATCATGATAACTTATCAGTTAAGTTCAATGTATAAATTATATTATTCGGATGATAATGTCGATGTTAACACATCAGTAAGCAACTCTGTTTGATTATAACATTTAGACAGCTCACTTACATATGGTATTTATGATTCTAAAAGTGTGATTATCATC